CCTTTGGACCAACAGGTAGGTGGTCACCAGTTTCCAGCCCCCGCCCACTCTGGCAGCCATCCAATCAGAGGCATCGCCCTGGCTTCCCTGCCCCACCTCTTCCAGGTGCTGCCTCTGAGTGAGGGGCTGGGGCTGGGAATCCCCAAAGGATGAACCAGCAGTCTGTGCCCATCTCAGCCAGGGATATGTTGGAGGGAGGATTCCGTCACTTGTGTCTTTGAGTCACCATATTTACTCTGTAGGTGTATGGGTGGGTTGATCACCATTTATGTGACCTCTAGTGCACAGGGGTCATGTAGATGGATAGAGAGAAAGGTTTTTCGAGGGGTGAAGCCTCCTTTTGTTTTCCCTGTTGTTTGGAACAGAGGAGGTTGAACTGAAATAAAGGACTGTCTTGCTACTAGCTGATACCAGCTGAGCTTCCATGGTTCCGAAATTACACCTGGCTGGGCAACCATTCTTGGTTCAGCACCGAAGAACCGGGTTCTTTTCTGAGGCACACCCTGGTTGCTGCCTCATATCATGGGGCACCTGCTGGAACCCTCTTCTGTGTTGGACTCGGAAGCTGCTAAGATCTGCTGCTTGCCCAGTGACTAGCTCTTGCTGCTGCCGCCTACGGAGAGGAGAGCCCTGCTGCCTCCATGAGATGTTTGTGAATAAGGACTCAGGAGACAGAGTTTCCTTATCCCAGCTGGATTTGGGGATAAGTCATTGTATATTGGGTGGTTACTGCGTGTATTATGTGAAGGGCTTTTTTATATAGGCAATACTCAGCTAGCTGGATTACTGCTCTGAACTGATGAACCATGAAGAGAGACGGTTCCAGGTCTGAGGGAAACCCTCAGCAAAGGATGGTGTGCTGGGCTCTTTTCTACCTCAGTGAGTTTACCCATTTGAGTGGCAACTGGGGACATAATGGAGAAATGGTTTCTCTGTTTGTTCTCCCTCCCCTTCCAGTTTTTATATTGTTTGTTTTTAATATTGTAAGATGCCTTGCATCCTCTTGAGAAGATAGGCAGGACAGAAATGTTTTTCATAAAAATTAATTTTTTTATTCATTAATATAAGTGCCTGTGAGAGGTCTCCCTGGGATAGATGAGCACATCAATGGGAAGGCGAGCGCCTGGACTGTGTGTGTTCAAAGTCCCTTTCGGGGACTCTAACCCCCACACTCCCCAGCTTTGAACTTATGTCCTTTGGGGGAAGGGAGACTACCTCATTCAGTTTTGCTTGGTGCTGCTTTCCCCCTGCCTGTGCTGGAGCCTTGTTTGGGCATCCAGATTACCAAGGTTGCCTCTGAGCCTGTGCAGAGTGCGAGCAGCCGGGGGATACCACAGCTGGCCCAGGGTGGGTTCGGGTACAATTGGCTGTTTAAATAATGTTTGTTGATATTTTGAAAAAAAAAGCCTCCATTGAATTTATTTTTATTTTTTAACATGGCTGTTTCTTGGTCGGTTCACTAAGAGACATAAATTGGCAGCCATTGTAATAAAATTGTATTGATTGCGGGTTTAATCCGGAACGAATCAAATGAAACATTCAATACATTCTCCTCTGTCCTCTCTTTTGTCTTTCTATGTCCTCCTTTTGGTACCCATGTTTCTGGCAACCCTACCCTGGGACCAGCGGCCGAGCTGGTGCTTTGGACACAGGCCTGCGTTCAATCTCTGGCATCCCCAAGAAAGGCGAGGGGCGCAGCCTTGCTTGGAACTCTGCAGGGCTGGTGGCAGACCCAAACGTTGGGCTGCTTCAGGCACAGTAGCAAATATGGGCTCCCCCCACCTGTGCAGAGCGCCTCAAGTGAGCCACGTTCTCTGGGCACACCGTCTTCTCATCTGGATAGCTCTGTGGTTGAGGTCTCTGGCTCCAGAGCCGGCGGCTGGGAGTTCGATTCCCTTCTGTGCCTCCTTGACAGGGACTGGACTCAATGACCCATGGGGTCCCTTCCAGCTCCGCAGTTTTAAGATTTAGATTTTAAAATAAGGTCTTCTCTAGCAGTGAGAGAGACAACAGCAGAAGACAGTACTGTAATAATTTGCAGCCTGTATATGCATGCCAAAACGTGCAGCCTAAACTGAGCACTGAGGGCCCTGCGCTTAGTACACCAGTCTCCGTGAACCACCAGCCTGCCTCAGCCTATGGGAGCTTTGCATTCTCCCTGGGATCCCATCATCGTCATCCACATCATCATCTTATAACTGCAGAGCTGGAAGGGACCCATCAAGCCCCGCTACTGCATGCTAAAATGTGCTTCTAATGTTAATTCCCAGCCAGAACTTTTGGGATGGGGATTGCTTTCTGGATTACAGTTCCCAGAATCCCCTGGAAACGTGTCCGGGTCCGATTGGGGATCCTGATGCTGGGAAAGTGTGAGGGCAACAGGAGATGGGGGACGACAGAAGATGAGGTGATTGGACAGTGTCATCGAAGTGACCAACAGGAATTTGACACAACTCTGGGAGGCAGTGGAAGACAGGAGGGCCTGTCTTCCACTTAAGGACTAAACAACAACAAGTCCATACAGGTGGCCTCCCAATGCTTCTTAACTTTAGGTTACTCAGGTGTTTTTTTGGACTGCAACTCCCAGAAGCCTTCACCACCAGCTGTGCTGACTGGGGTTTCTGGGAGTTGCAGTTCAAAAACACCTGAATAACCCAAGGTCAAGCACCACTGCGAGAGAAGGGCCGTGGCCCCTGTGGGCCGCCTTCTCTCCTTGCCTCCCTTCCTCCTTAGAAACCTCCCCTCCCCGCCGTGCTTTGCGCGGCTGAAGACCTGGGGGGCGGGGCCGAGGGAGGCTGCTGCTGCTGCTACTGCGCCCGTCCGTCGCTCGCTCGCAGCCCGGGCTGGAGAGGGAGGTTGGTGGTGTCGCCGCTGAAGGAGGAGGAGGAGGGTTTTTTTGCCTCTCTCGGTGCCCCGCTCGGTCCCCGTCATGTCTGCCGCCGCCGCCGCCGGCTACTGCCGTCCGCACCCCGCTGCTCCCGGGTCGACCCTGGGCAGGGACATCCCGGGCCCCGCCAAGCGCTTCTGCCTGCCCGAGGGAGTCGAGCTGCCCCCCGGCGACTACAGCACCACGCCCGGAGGCACCCTCTTCGGGACCACGCCGGGAGGTGAGGCGAGGCTTAAAGGGGGGGGGAAGCAGCTACTGCCTCTGAGCATGTACAGAGTGCGCCCCGAGCAAGATCGAGGAGCTCTGCCTATAGCGCGCTCTCTCGGAAACGGACGCTGGGCTTGCTCTGAAGTAGGACTCTCCCTCTCTCTCTTTTTCCTTTCTCTGTGAACGATTCACTAAAACTCGAGTGTTTCTGAGCATGTACGGAGTGCTTCGTAGCTGGGGAGGGCGGCTCGGCAGCCTAGGTAGGAAGAAAGGGAGGTTTCTGTGAAACGAGCTGGATATTAGAGTCTAGGTGAGGTTCAGACTAGGTTCCTTCTCTCTTTTTTTAAAATGGGGAATTAATATTTTAAGGTGGGAACCCTTAAAGTCTCCTTAAAGACTAGCAGATTATTATTAATTATTATTATTTTTTTGCAGAATAAGCGCGTGGGACTGGAGCCTGTTTTGGTGCATACATGGAGAGTTGTCCTCAGTTGGCAGAGATATACAGTAGTTGGGTATCGAGGAAGAAATGTAAACATTGGGTCTCGAAAGGCATGAAATGCAAGACGCGCCATGCGGTCTGCAGAGTTTTGCTTAACGCTGCTGAGAGAGAGAGATTGCACTGGTCTGATGCAACTGCTCACGTTCATTTCGAGTCATATTTGTTTAACACACCAAAAGCCTCATTGCACAAACCCTGCGAAGGGCAGGAAGCCGTTCCTTTGATTTGACTGGCACTCCCCAGGGTGCACTTTTTGTTGTTGTTGAGGTAAAGTGTGTGGCTGAAAAGATAAAATATAATTCCCTAATCATGTTCTTATCTGGGACTATTGACATCTGCAATTGGGGAAATGGAGTGACCGTTTCTGAACACGTTGCCGTGTCAGTTTCCTGCAGAAAAAAAGGAAAACAGAGAGGCCTGTTTAAGAATTTCTTTCTTTGCTTGCTTGTTTAAAATACCTTTAACCTGCCTTTCTCCTTATGAAGGACCCAAGGCAGCTTACAACAATTAATTCATGCATGTATCATATTATGAGAAGGATCTTCAGGCAAAGCCGCTCTGTTAGCTAAGACTGGCCAGCAAGAGAGCCAAAAAGGAGGCAGGCTGGAGGAGCCTTTTAAAGGAAACCTGTAGGCGACAGGAAACCATTTCGAGTCATGCCCTATGGCTGTGGGGTTTACTCATCCGTTTCATTTCCTCCTCTGCTGGCGCTGGATTTCCCCCACCAAGATGGGTGTCTTCAGGCTTGCAGGGGATCTGCGGGTGGGATCAACCCTTTAGGATGTGGGGCAGTGAAGAGGCCGGCCGGCCTCTCCATTTGTCTGTGGGAGCCTTGAAATGTGTACGGTTTTGTAGCAAGTTGCTACGTGCCAATGAAAACACAGCAAAGTGTTTTGAGGAGATTGGTGAATTGTTATTATTTATGTATTTGTAACCCTTACAGTCCACCAAGGAGCTCAGGAAATGTAGATGGCCCTCTACCTGCTTGTCCTCACAAATAACCCTTTGGCGTAGGTTCAGCAGGGAGGTAGCAACCTGCCAAAGGTCACCCCAACTGCTTTGTGATTGAGTCACTGAGTGGGGATTTGAACTTGGTTCACCCCAGTCATAGTCCAGTTGACCATCATGCTGTGCAGGCTTTTGAACAGCATGACTTAGGATTGTTCGTGGAAAGGCCTGTTTGCATCATGTGTGAATAATTTTCGGTCAATAACAAAAGAAGACATCTAGGATGAATAATTGGTTTCCTATAGGTTTAAGCAGATTTCAGAATCATGAAGTGACCGTTCTGTGCATTTTTAGTTAACGTGGATTAAATTTTTTACAAAATCTAGAGGTGACTCTGTTGATGCTGTTTTTCCCCCAAAATGCTCCTGGATCTCCATTTTGCAGCAAGCATTTGGGCATTTGTTGTTGTGGGAATGATTGCATTTAAGGCCCGATGGTTATTTGGTGAAGATGCTCTTCACCTATAGCTGTGGTTGATGAGTGGTTTCTTTGTTATTTTTGTCCCATAAAAGAAAGTTGGTTTTTGAAGTAAATTTGCACATTTCTTGGTATCTAGGACAAAAACAACCCAAGGTTTGAAGAATTTGAAAGCTGAAAAAAGTATTAAATCAACTGCACCCTTTGGAATGCAGAACAGTGTATTTTCATAGGGTTTTCATAAACGATGCAGAAAAGAAAACGGGGGAGGGGAATCTTGATCTGTTAAAACAAAGCTGCAAAGAAGCATGCCCAGGCTAAGGTCTAAAGATCTTGGTCACATGCTTGCCCATAAGGTGTGATCCTAGCATGAAAAGGCTCTCTCCAAAATGGGACCACTGCCACAGGAAGCATCTGTCTGCTGGAAAAGATAAAGGGTGCAAAGGCAGAGATCTCTTGGGATGTTCTCAGTAAACTTGTCCCAAGAATATCTGTCCCCATAGAATAAGGAAAAGATAATTTCAAAGCAACGCGCAAGCAAAAAATAAAAAAGTGCCAAAAGGATTGAAGCAAAAGTAAAGACAACCCAGTATAAAATAAAGGACTCCAAAAAGGGAAAAGAAAGAGGTAACTTTTTAATTACAGTTAATTATTTGATTATGCTGCAGTTCTATTTCTATTCCCTTTACCTAAAGAGCCTGTGGACTTCTTTTGTATCACTGACGCCTGTGTGTTTCTACATTTTAAACAGCAGAACATTTTGTGAAAGAGAAAAACATAGTTTTTGGTTCTTTTTGCCCAAGCCAGTCGTTATGGTTGCAACTGTACTTTAAAGACTAAGGAAATGCAGGCCACAGATCGCTCCGCCTGCAAGAGACATGGGCAGATTGAGGCACCCGCCTGTACCTTAGCTTCCACCAGTTCGCTGTAAGCAGTACAGCAGCCATATTCCCCTCTGTAATGGGTGAAACATTCCACCAGTTCGCTGTAAGCAGTACAGCAAAATGAAGTGCCATATTCCCCTCTGTAATGGGTGAAACGTAGTAATTTGCAACTGGAGTAGGCTCATTGAAGCAGATGCTGGCTCACCAGATCCCCACTGATTCCGTGGGCCTATTTAGTTGCCGCTTGCTACTGGATTTCAGCAAGTGTCTCTCAACAAGACATAGAGAAGGCTTATGAGCGAAGAGCAGTACTATGTCTTGTAAAGTGATTGGTTTCACCTCCAAGCATCATCCTACTAGCTGCCCACTTCTGATAGAGTTCACCACTAGTAGTATGGAAGGGGAGACTTTAAAACACAGGTTTTGATGCATTTGTCAGTATGGACAAGCTGCAAATTTTTTAGCCCACTCCTGCCATGATTACATAATCTTTACCAGTTCAGTACAGTTCGTTTGCATTTGTGGGAAGGAAGCTTCATTGTGCTTAATGGGCTAAGTCCTAGATAAACGTTTTAGAGAATCAAGGAGTGGAAATCACCTCTTGCGTTGACTTGGGGTGGCAGTTATATTAGTATTTCCATTTGGTGGAGGGGGGAAGCTGACCTATGATATGAGCTTCCTTACTTTGTGGGCATGTCTTTAACTATGGCTTTTTGCTTTAATCCAAAGGTTGTTTTTTCTCTGGTTTGAGAATTTGTTGAATAGTTTGCCTGACGAAATAAAAAAGGCAGAGCCAGTCCCAACATTTGCTTGATTCTGGACTGAACTGCGTCCAAGTTTATTTGATTTCCCCTGCTGGATAATCTTTTAAGCACCTCATTTGGACACTGTGTAATGCTTCATGACACGAGTTAAGTGTGGCTTATTATGCTATGATTACCAGTCTTTTAAAGGGGGGAAAGTTTGAAAACTTTCCATCCCTGACAGCAGCGCAGAGCGTATGCCGTGTCCTTGATAGAACAAGAGGCAGTCCTGCAGAAACATTCCCTTGTTTAGGAACAGTCAATGAAGGGCGTTGCCTTTGCTTAAATGCAGCAAAATAAAAGAGCAGATATCTTGCGACTGTTCGGTTTACTGACCCAGACTTTCGTGGATCGGAACCCACTTTGTCAGCTGTGCAAAGTGTTGCCCTTCCGTTGACGTATGCAGACTTACTTGGATGAAAGGCCGTTGTAAGCAAAGGGCCTAAAAGCTTGTGTAATATACGAGTGCAATTTGTGATGTTTCTGTTTGCAACTCAGATGTATTCAAGATGAGATGTTACTTCATGCATCAGACAGATTGGATGGAAGCGAGACAAAATCCCTATGCTGTAATGAACCTTTTGGTCTATTAGGTGCTGTGTACCTTGCCTCTGTGTGTGTGTGTGTGTGAGAGAGAGAGAGAGAGAGAAAGAGGGGGGGCATTAACCAGAAATTGTCAAGATACATAAACATTCTAGGAGCTATTACAACCCATTTTGAAGGACAACAAAAAGAGCAGCACCCACCATTATTATTATCATCATCAGTCAGTCAGTGACCAAAGAAAAACATCTTTGCCAGCTTGCATGAGGACCGAAAGGCAGGGACCAGCCTTCTTCAGAATGGAGGCCCATCGCCTAGGAGCAGCTACCAAGAAGCCCCTCAAAATGCTCCTGATGAATTTCCTGTGAACTTATTTGCTTTGGAATAGTTACAGTGAAAGGAGACTGGAATTGTCCTAGCACATTGTTTCTTAACTTTGGAGAAGTGGTATAACCTGACCTCCGCTTTCAACCTCAAATTCCCTTTTCTCCTTTACCCTGTGTGCTGTGATTTCTTGTTTCAGTCATGGCTGGTGGCAACAGCAAACCGTGGTCTGGATTCAGCAAACCAGCATGTGTAGCATTACTCACATGTGGCCAGAGACCTTTGAAACCGTGGTCTGGATTCAGCAAACCAGCATTACTCACATGTGGCCAGAGACCTTTGACTCTAGTGGACACTTAAGTGAATATTGCGAGTTAGCGCTCCTGAGTTTAGCAGCAGTGTTGAGAAAGTGTTTAGAACACTTTGCTTAGAAAGTGATTTCAAACATTGGAGGATAAGTGATAGATGACATGTTGCAGTGGGGGACAATTTCAGGGGACCATAGAGTTAGTTTTCAGTGTGAGAATCTGGA